TGGAACCATCATAGAATTGATAGGTAAATCATTCTCTTGTGATCTACTTCTTCCTCACAAAGCTATCCTGAAGCCATGTTTCTAATTCCACCTGATATGGACCACCTACCTTGCTTCATTCTTGCTGAATCTTTTCCCTTGTTGACAAGACTTTGACTCAACCTCTGCGTCTCCTTACTTAACCCTGACAGTTATATAAACACAGGACTGCGGACCTCTATCCATTCTCCCATATTCTAATATCATTAATCTAAATCAACTTTTATATTAAACTTTCTATGTAATTTTCGTTATGCATTATTACCACTTCATTTCAAGTAAAGATGTACAAAAAAATGGTAAAATATATATTTTATGTGATACACACAGAGACCAAAAAACAATGAAATCAATCGACGAACTAAGAAGAAAACGCGTCATCTGAGTGAAGAGAAACGAGGGGGAAGAACTCGTGTATTTATAGATTATAAATCTGTGATTTGTATTAGTGTCGGATATTAGTGTTTGCTATATAAAAATATGCGTAGTGATGTGTCTGGTAATATACTAATGTGCTCGGTCACTGGGTGGATTAATGTTCAAGACATTGTGATAAATGTTCTAGGAACAATTTAAGAACAAATGTTCAAAACACAGTCACGAAAGATATGCATACTTCAGCTGGTATTCTGTTCTCATATCTGAGTTCTTAGTTTGAAGAGTATATTTGGAATAATAATAAGAGTATAATTGGAATAATATATTTTCCAAGTGGAAAATATTTATACTGGCTTAGGCACTTTCTCCAGATAAATTAGCGTCTTAATATAATAATATAATAATCTTTTATTTACAAGAAGGTGCAATGAGTTGGTGAGATTACATTAGAATGATATGTTTACATTCTTGCAAAGTCACTAACAAGCATAGCGTAATGCAATGTTCGTTAGCGATGCTTCAGTCATACATTGTCCATTAGGATTCGCTTCTTTACATATTAGAAATGATGCCCACCTGGTTACTATCAGACTCCATGATCTCAATATATACAAAATACCAGTATCTTTTTCAAGGCAGTCGACAATGCACAAACACCAAGACTTTATCGAAGATCACAAATTTTTTATACACGATCAGATCACTGCGAGATATATCTTGACCAATAACACCCGAATAATCAACAGATACAACGATAATAAGTGATTAGATACAGCCAAAGTGCTTGCATATCAAACACTCCCATCCTATCATCAAAAGCCTGCTTACACCTAGGCGCATCCTAGCATCTACTTGACCAATAGAGCACTGCAAGGTAACACCATATCTAATGCCCCAGTCAACCAATGAGAAAAAGCAATAATGCAGTCTTTATCATACATGGAAAATATATATACTGTCACCATTGGTAATTTGTATTCATACTTTCTCTGCCTCCGAAGATGTTGAAAAGAGCTTCAGCGAAACACGTACCCTTGCGATACACGTCAGAACTTATAACATTTTAAAAGGAGCTATGCAGAGCTGATATTTCACCTTCCTATATGAAGAACATAAAAGATATAGAGAATATTCGTGCAAGAACCCTCAAGCTCTTTCGAATATATATATATATATATATATGCTCCCTCTTATTTTCTGTCCAGGATGTAAACGGAACAGCGGATTCCAGGCTTATTTGTGTTCTCAGGCATCCGACTTCAAGTCACGAACGTAAACACACACAGCACTAACCGACCCCACTGTCTCATACCTGTGTACCTGGGCACAGAGAACACGTTGCAGAGTCGTCAGTTACGTATCTCCCGCCGCCCGTTCTCCCTCGACGGAACTGGTGAGCGAGACGAGGCATGAGACACTTAGCCACACTCAGTTGAGATGGAGACGGATTAAGGAGTCTAGTTTGCCCGAAACGCTATGCGTGCTAGAGGCTTTACAAGAATGTAATTTCAACTTAAACTCTATGTTCTCTGTTAACCCCCAATGTACCTTCTTGTATATAAATAAATATATAAATAAAGTTGTTGTTATTATCTTCATAAATACATATAGTTGTTATTCATTGTATTTTTATATATATATGGGTTTAATTCGTTAATGTCACTCTTACTCCTTTTACGAGAGAACTTCAACAACAGTTTTTATGGTACTAACCCAAGTTATTATGGAACTAACCAGAATCATCATGGAACTCAACATCATATGGAACTATCTCAAGTTATTATGGAATTAACCCAAGTTAATATGGAAGTAACGCAAATTATTTTGGAAATAATCCAAGTTAATTTGAAACTAACCCAAGGTATTATGGAACTAACACAAATTATTATGGAGCTAATCTAAATTATTATGGAACTAATCCAAGTTATTATGGAAATAATCCAAGCTATTATGGAACTAACTTCAATAATCATGCAATATAAGTTATTTATTAAAATTTTATTAACAATACTTGCAGTTAATAACCCAGCTAACTGTAAAAATCTCAAAGTAAAATTTTAAATAAGTAAACAAATATATACTGTTTTTTCGAAACTTCTGCTAATATTTAACATTCAAAACAGCATTTAACATTAAATAACAGCATTAAACATTAATAAACAGCATTTAACATTAAAAAACACAATTAACATTTCTGAGGCTATTGGGCTCTATCATATCTACACTTGAAACTGTGTATGGACTCAGCCTCCACCACAAGTGTGTGTGTGTGTGTGTGAGAGAGAGAGAGAGAGAGAGAGAGAGAGAGAGAGAGAGAGAGAGAGAGAGAGAGAGAGAGAGAGAGAGAGAGAGAGAGAGAGAGAGAGCCAACAAACACACGGATAAGGAGAAACAGAAAAAGATAAGAGACATGTTCGTAATCTTTGGCGTTAGGCCCTAGTGTGTTCCTAGTTCAACAGAAAGTGCATGAACATGAAAATGGGTTCAGGGGGACTAGACCCCCCCCCCCCAGGAAGACCCACAGTGAAGGGGCCTCTTCTTCTTCTTCTTGATCAATTAAAGAAATGATCTATTAGGAAATTTAACACCAAGTCTTTACTCTTTTTCCATACAATTACTCTCCATTCCCAATGGTAATGAACCTGAATTATGTGCCTCGCGCGCGCGCGCACACACACACACACACACACACACACACACACACACACACACACACACACACACACACAAGACTACGGACACTCAATTAGCCTGAGCCTGCTTCCCAGCGCCGGGCGTTTGTTTGATAACTTACTAGACTCAGTTGAACAATGTGGCCCGCTGACCAGGCAGGGTTTGATGGTCCAACTGTGTGAAGTAGAACTTTTGAGATGTTGTTGTTCTCTTGAAACACGTGATTAAGTTCTCCTCCCCCCCCCCCCCCCAGTCTCCATCCCCCCTGGCTTATACATTACTGAACATACTCTAAGTAAGTCCATAATAAGAAACATATATACACTCCGTTATTTTTATTTTAGTAACACCATCCACGTGTCTGCTGGAACACCATCCACGTGTCTGCTGGAACACCATCCACTTGTCTGCTGGAACACCATCCACGTGTCTGCTGGAACACCATCCACGTGTCTGCTGGAACACCATCCATTTGTCTGCTGCAGCGCCAAGTTTGGTGTCTGCTAAAATGCAAGAGTTTAGTTGGCACAACTAATTAGCACAACCAAAAGTATTGAAATATTTCCTTTATAGTTCCTAAACTAAATTTAAAATATGAATAGGAATGGGAATTTGTTACTGTTGTTGCTCCTTGCTTCTGTTGTTGTTCCTTGCTCCTGTTGTTGTTACTTGTTCCTGTTTTTCTTCCTTGCTTCTGTTGTTGTTCCTTCCTCCTGTTGTTGCTCCTTGCCACTGTTGTTCCTCTTTGCCACTGTTGTTGTTCCCTGCTTCTGTTGTTGTTCCTCCTTGCTCCTGTTGTTGCTATTGCTGCTCTGTGGTACTGTTTCTGGATCAAGAAAGTAGTCTAACAGGTCATAGATTATCTGGAGCCTTCTGTACGATTCAAGGAATGTTTGGTGAAATATTCTTCGCCTTTGAGAGATTAAAGTGTTCATTCCCTAGATCTTGCAGTATCTAGAATGGGAACTAAGGCCCGTAGGAAGGCGTGCAGTATACAGGAGACGCGGCGGTCTCCACACCCAAGGATAAGGCCCAGCAAGCAGTATAAGATGATGCAAAAGGGCGAGTGGAGGCCCTTGGGAAGGACTCACGAGTTAACACCGACTTGGTTAATAGACCACTAGACCAATTTTCCCACTGGAGTAGTTCTTAGAACCCCTCTCCCTCCCTCCCCTCCATCCCCGGTCCCGCCTCGTCGTCTGCTTCCAGTCCTCCCGGCTGGCTCTTAGTCCCGCACTGCTGGAGGCGACGTCAAGCGAGTCTCACGCTCGTCGGCGAGTGTGCCTGGAACACCGAGAGCTCTCCTCAAACTCCCTCCGGTGCTCGCGATTCCGTTTTGTCAACTCTCACGGTGCTGGAAGCCAGACAGTTGGAGTCACATTCCCCTAGGCAGCGCCTGGAAGCCTGAGAATTTTCCTGTGTCCACTTCCAGACCTGAAGACTCCGCTGTTCAAGGCACGCACTTCAGGAGGAGACGTGTTAGGGGTTTGACGCTCGTCAGGGTAGAGCTGGGATCACTTGGAAGCCATCTGTACTACCTTCCAGTCTACCAGACTCCGGTGTTCCAGGTGGACACTACTGGAAGTAAATGAAGAAGGTTGCTGGCGTCCAGTAGTGAATCTGAAAGCTCATACCCATCCAGTAATCCAAGGAAGAGTTTTGAAAACAATCCGGATTCCATCTGATACTTGGATATAAAAACTAACTGCTGACGTAACGTTACGACTGGACTGTAATCTGAATAAGAAGTTGGCGATTCATGACAATTAATCTGTAGACCTTCCCGCTAACCTGGTGACTTGTGTCAGTGAATCGAGACATTGTGACCTTGCAACTGGCGCTGAGGATTCATCGCTGGTGAAAAGTTGGTGACCTTGGCTGGTGGCCCGTGCTGGTGACCGGAAAGAATCATGTTGATATCCAAACTAGTGTTCCTACAGCTAATGGTAAGTATGCTTCTCTGTGTATATATATATATATATATATATATATATATATATATATATATATATATATATATATATATATATATATTATGTGTGTGTGTGTGTGTGTGTGTGTGTGTGTTTATGCAACTATGTGAGTATTATGTAAGTCTAAATGTATGTAAATGTAAATATGAATGCATGTAGGTATGTACATTAGCTACTCTTCTATAGTATATCTGTCGCCCACTATTTATCAGGACGATGTGACATCATTATTTTTATTTACTAGTAGACTGTGGCGCCGCTATTTATTTAAGTGGACAACGTGGCACCACTGTTTTTATTTACCCGGACAATGTGGCAACACTGCTCATGCTTACCAGGGCAATATGGCACCACTGTTTTTATTTACTAGGACAATATGGCACCACTGTTTTTATTTATCAGGAAAATGCGGCTGAACTGTTTTTATATCACAAGACACTATCTCACCACTGTTTTTATTTCACTTGACAATATCTTGCCACTGTTTTTATTTACCAGGACAATGTGGCACCAGTGTTTTTATTTACTTGGACAATGTGGCACCACTGTTTTTATTTACCAGGATAATAGTGCACCCTTGCTTTACTTTCCAGTTGAAAACTGTTTTTTATCCCGGCCTCATCCCATCCCTCCCCTCACCCTAGCCTCCACTCCCTGTTTCCCCTCCCCTTACCCCTTCCCCCATTACTAACAGACCTGCGACACGCACTCGTACACCTGGTGTACGAAGTTGTCCTTCCCCCTCTTTGGTGTTTGTCGCAGAAGCGTTCTCCAAGAGCCACAGGTGGGCGGCGTGCTGAGTCTGCTGCTTGTGTTGGAGGGCAGGATGTGTGTATGTGTGCTGGAGGGGAGGTATATGGGGGGGAAGGGTTGCGTGTCGGGGGAGGCGGAGAGGTGTGTACGTAAGGGTAGTGTATGTGTGTGTCGGGCGAGAGATGTGTATGTTGGGGAGGGGGGGGGCGGAGGTATGTGTGGGAGGGACGGAGGTATGTGTGGGAGGGAGAGGGAATATGTTGGTGCGTTGGGGAAAGCAGAGAAGGAAGAGGTTTGTCATGATTGAAACATACAAGATACTCACAGGGAATGACAGAAGTTAAATATTGTTTACCACTGAGAGGAGAGTGAAGGGTCATAGGGGGAAGCTGGAGACCAAGATGAGCCATTGGGATCTAATAAAGCATGTTGTGTGAGAGAAATTATTACAAGTATAGGCAAAATAAGGGAGATAACGCAAGGAATCTCCGTAATTGCTAAAGAAATGATGATAGCAGAGACGGCTGGGGCTTGACGCCTATAAACGACAATCAGAGAGGCGGAGCCCGGGAGCTGATGATCGACTCCATAAACTGTAATAGATGAGATGAGAGTACACAGTCAGACCTACCTCTCCGCTCCGGAAATAGCGACGAACCCGCTATTTACCTGAGAGCCGACGCCAAACGGTACTTATAATAAGATATTACCCATCCCTCCCTCAGGTAACTCGGTTATTCTCACCTGCCGCCGCCAAGATGATCCAGTTAGACTCCACGGTACCTCTGCCACGCTCTTAACCCAGTCGTCACGTGTAATTGCGGGAATCGAACCGAGGTGTAAGATGTACAAAGCTCACACGCTACTCTAAACCACACGTAAACAACGAATGGTTAAGGGACTGAGAACTATGCAAGGAATAACATCTTATGAAACATTATGGAACTTGTATAGCTGTCTAGCGCTTAAGAAACACCAGCAAGCTGGTAATTAGCGCCAGACTCTCAAAATCCCGCTAGCAGGACTCCGCGAAGACGTCAACAGACACCCCGGGGCGCCTTTATCATCAGTGATGGTAGCGACTAGACGATACTTGGCGCCACCACCAGTCTGACCACCGCACCACTGTTATGTGGCGAGTGGTTACTGTGTTTGGTGCTTCGGGAGACACATGAGAGAGAGAGAGAGAGAGAGAGAGAGAGAGAGAGAGAGAGAGAGAGAGAGAGAGAGAGAGAGAGAGAGAGAGAGAGAGAGAGAGAGAGAGAGAGAGAGAGAGAGAGAGAGAGAGAGAGAGAGAGAGAGAGAGAGAGAGAGAGAGAGAGAGAGACAGAGACAGAGAGAACTTTTCCTCTCCATTAGCTCACCTGAAAGGAAGCTCTATATAATTACGTCCCGCCTTAAACACTCAACTGTGACTTCTGGAGCAGAGTGGAGGCAGTCACGTGTGCGCGTGTATTTACTACTTGTAGTTATTATTTGTGCCAGCAAGATCGTGCTATTAGCTCTTGGACCCCGAATGCTCTTATGCTACAGATATTTCTACATATGTTGCATATATGTATTTCGTAAACACTTTCAGTGTAGATGCAAAAATTGCAATTGGATCCCAATATTTGAATACAGTCTTCAAAATCGCAAATGTTATCCCATAAATTTGAAATGGGGTTTTGAATGTCTCCAGTGAGGTCCCGATAATTGGATATATTTCATATATAATGTAAATGACCTCTGTGACCTGCCAACACTAACAACCTAGCTGGTCTTACGGGAAAGGTGATGCCCCCCGAAACCACTTCAAGTCAATCACTGAAGTGTGGGTGTTGCCACAAGCTTAGACTTGTGTGTTGTACGTTTCCAAGCCTGAAACATATTCGACACTCTTGACTCTTGTACAACAGGCTTTGTCATTATTACAGAGTTTTGCTTGCAATAAAAACTTGTTCTAAGTTATGAAGTGTTTCTTGTGTTACAGGATTGATTATTGTGTCGTTTGTACTGCAACATTGGTCTTGGGTTACGAAGTGTTGCAGACGTCGCCACGAAGAATTACGAACACAATATTTTGTTTTCATGGCAGATGTAACTGAAGAGATACGACCATGTACGCGTTGCGTTGCAGTAATTGCCAATAAATTGCGATTAATAATGTGTTGTTTATGTTGCAGATGTTGCTCGTGACTGTGGAGACCCGGGCTGACGGCGTCTCCTCCGGGCGGCGGCCTCCGGTGCGGGTCTACGCCGGCGTCAACACGCCAGAACAAGCAGTTCTGATCCAGCTAAATAACGCAACAACATCCCAACGGTTGGCAAATTCTGCAGCCTTACAGACCCAGGGGACTGAACGTGTCGCCGCCCGTCCCAGTCACGCAGCAGGGCAGAACGACAAGTCCATCACAGCCGCTCATCGTCAGAAGACTTCCATTGGCGCACCTGGGCTCTACCCCCGACCATTTAGTCGTTCCGGCGCTGCTGTGGAGAAACTACGACAGCAGATGCAGGGAAGAACCGCTGGTTCCTGGCGGCATGCTGTAGGGGGTCTGGATAACAGTCGCCTGCGTCCTGGAATGTCGAGACTTGGAGCTGGAGATGTTCTTGCGAAGCGCAGGAGACATCACCTACCTTCCTCGCCAGGTGTCGGTCAGACGAGGACTGGCCATGGTGCTCCAGGCACTCGTCACTCCCTACATAGCGCCGCTGGATTCCCTTCGTCCACACCCCAGTCAAAAATGGACGATTTTATCTCTGAATGGCACAATTTTTACAGCAGGAGTCAAACTAAAGAAGAAGATGTTGTCTCTATTGACAAGGGACCTTCCACAGAGTCGACGAGCAAGTCTGAGAACCTTAAACACGAACCAGTAACATCTACACCGCTCCCCGTATATAGTCACAACCGCTCCGATGTCAGAAAATTAATTGAAAACTCCTCTCCACTTCGAACTCAGTCTCCTGGCCCGACTGTGCTAACTAGCGTTCCCTCTCTTCATGACATGACAAGCATGCACTTTAAATTCAACAGGAGTTCCTCATCCTCTCACGTTTCTGCTCTTGGCACGCAAAGCGAAACATCAAAGGGAAGAAAATCCAAGAGTCCAGCGCGGCAGCCTACCAGGACTAGGGGTAACCCTTTGATCTTGGCGACGGCCATCATGACCACACCCTCGTCTATCAGACACTCAGCCACAACTAAAGCTTCTCCAGACGGAAAGGAAATCTTCGACTCAATACAAAGCATCTTCGAAGCCGCGAAAACCGACGAGCGAGCTCTCTCGTCCATGAAGAATGTCAACCATGGCAATACCTCGCCTCAGTCGCTGGATATTTTCTCGGGAGTCTCTCCTACGTACGGGTTTCAGCCCAGTCTTCAAGCCGAGTCACTAATTAGATCAACAATAGATAATCACGCCCAACAAATCCAAACTAATTCTGTGCCACCAACCGCAACACATTCCGTCGCGTTGATCACTAGCCAAAGGCCTTTTGTTTCAGAACCAGATGCACAAGCAAGCAATTCGATACCAAGCAGCGTTCTGCTATCAGGACGCCCTGCAGGAGGTGATTTGCTCCTCCAGTTGGGTCACACACTCCCTGTGCAGGCGAGGGAACAGACGTGGGGCCCCGAGCACCGAGATGCAGGTGAGGAGGACATTATTCACAACGAAGGACTTACGAATGACGTCATTATTGGCCGTCCTGCAGCCCTTATCCAGGCGCCGCCGGAGACGGCCCCTATTGTGAGCAGCGCAGCGCCGCTACCCCAGCGACACTCCGGAAATCCCGTATATTTCCGTAACACTGAGGAGATCACAACACAACGCGCCCCTGAGCAATACTCCTCGCCGCCGTGGCACCCCGAGGAGCTGAGTCCTCTCCTCCAGTTCATCAACACGAAGTACAAACCTCAGCATCTCAACACTAATCCCTCTTCAGTAACGAGTCTTCAGTCTATGATACATGCTGGAAGAATCCCTGAGGTCTTCAGAAGGAACCAAGTGATGGATATCATCCGCGAAGATCGTCTTAGATATGAGCCGCAGTCCGTAGATAGAGTCGGAAAGCCTTTGAGAAACGCAGTGGAGAGGACCCATACGCATCCTAAAGAGAAAGGTGTGAGCAGCGGAGGGCAGTTCGTGGCCGTGTCGAGTATTGCTTTACTTCTGGCCTTCTGCGGGTACTTCCTATACGCGGGATCTGCAGCTAAGGAGGCCAGGAAGGTCCTCCACCCACTCAAAACCGCAGTGGATGAAGCCAGAAACGGCCTTCACTTCCTCTTGCGGGGACTCGACGAGTATGAAGACCATTTGAGCAAGGAAGAGGAAAACAAGAACTTGAAAAGACAACACATTCAAGAACACACCACAACCCAGAGCCACATTCCCACTATCTTGAAGAAGATGTGGAACACGGTCGTGCCTCCGGAGGTGCGGATCTCCAGTGGAATTGTAAAGCTCGACGCAGAGGGCTACAGACCCGTGAACGCCTCTGCTCTAATTCGCAGCAACAAGCCCCGGAGGAGGACCACCACCAGCTCCCGCCAGCCGCACGCCATCACAGTGCCTACTGGCCACAAGTATAGTGAGGATAAGTTCGACCTCTCTCAACACAAGCCTTCTACGGTGCAAACGGTCATAGGCCTTAGTTCTGTCGCGAATTCATTTCTGAATTATTTGATTAACAGTAAAGCTGTGGAGAGCATCATATCACAGCTCAAGTCTTCCACAGTGAGCACACACAACCCAAATACTCCTCGAATGGAACCGCGAGGAGAGGAAAAACAATCTAGTCCGAATCAAATTGAAAATAAACCCGCGTTGAAGATTCAAGATGAAACGGCATCCAAAGACAGAAATCACCCAAATGATGACATTTCCCAGAGGTTGAAGACAAATGCAACCAAGAACACCACACATACATTCAGAACCATTACACATGTATACACGAGCACACCTCACGCAACCACAAACACGCCTCACGCAACCACAAGCACGCCTCACGCAACCACAAGCACACCTCACGCAACTACAAGCATGCCTCACGCCACCACAAGCACACCTCACGCAACTACAAGCACGCCTCACGCCACCACAAGCACGCCTCACGCAACCGCAAGCACACCTCACGCAACCGCAAGCACACCTCACGCAACCACGCCTCACGCAACCACAAGCACGCCTCACGCAGCCCCACAATCTTCACAAGCAACTACGAGCAGTCCAAATGACCGGGAAGACAAAACTACAAACAGTTTCTGGTCTCAAGATGGTCTGGTCACCTTTGCCGGAACAGGACTGAGTCTGGCGGGTCTTGGAGGGGTGACTGAGCAATCCTCCCCGGCAAGCAAGCGAGTCATCATCAACAACCGCTTACACATCCCCCACCACCCGGAGACCGATCCTCCACGCACCTCCGCTTTCGTCAACAACATCCCTCTCAAACCAGCTTTGTAAATTCAAACCATTTAGGCTTTGTCTCATGTTAGGTTTTAAGATTATCAACCACAGGAGGGGATTATTAAGGCCACCAGAATAGCTTATTGAGCAAGTATACTCTAGCTCTGAACGTCATTCAGGTTTAAAGTAAACTTGATGTGTATACACGTTACAATAACGTGGCTGAACATAAAGGAAGTGACATTTCGGTCCATCCTAGACCGAAACGGTCTAGAATGGATCGAAAATATTTAATTTACAATTATAAATCTTGACTGCTAATTATAAACACTTGATTGTAAACAAGTTTTTATCAATCGAGATGTGGATTACACCTCTTGTTATACGTACTCATTGTTCGACACTGGGTTGTAGGCCCAATGTCAAACTGTTGTTAACTGTCTAAGTGTCTGCACTTGCAACAGACACCAGACCAACGTGCATTTTAAAGGCCGGACCTTCCAACAATTCTATTTCTTTTCACCAATAAATATATTTTCACTTATTGCTCCAAAAGTCATTTATAAAGTTGCACTTGAAACATGGAAATTTACCGTGATAACGAGGGGTTAACAGCGTTATTAACCGAGAAAGCGTACTTCATTGCAGCCTAAGATGTCGTGATATAAATTTTTCACTAATTACTATTCATTATTTACCGCTAATGTGTGTAAACACACCTAAAATCCACACTGAAATCACAAGATGAGAAAATTCTGAAGCCATATAGTGGGATCGAACTCGCATCACTGGACTCCACAGACACACACACTATTAGCTGTATCATGGGGTTAACAGTAGTGCGTGTGCCTGGGAGTCTAGGGGTGTAAAGTCGACCCAACTATACGGTTTCAATGTTGCCTTACTTCTAAAGACCTCTTGTCTCTTAAAGTGTAAAGCATTCTGTGACCTTTATTTTGGGCATTATTAGTAAATAAGGGATAGAACAGATTAATAAATGCAGCAGTTAGGGCTCTGTTTACGAAAATAAGAAAATAGCATGTGCGGGGCCCCGTTATATCACTCTGGTTTTGGAGAGGAAAATAATGTGAAATTGTACCCCCCAATCCACGTACAAAAAAAAACTATTTTCTGCTAATAATTTTGTAGAGAGCACGAGAAAGAACGCAACAACCAAAACCTAAACTTTCCTGGGCCTAATATTGCATAATATATGTACTAAATTATGTCTATGATTGCTTATTTAAACCAAGGAAAGGTTGGGCTAGGGTGTTGAGTTGAGCCAATTCTCTCCATCAGCACACCGCATCAGAAGCATCGGAACCTTACCTAACCTAACCAACCTACCTGAGCCAGTAACAATGTAACACAATGTTTTACTTCCTGGTTTGTGTTATTTTTGTATGGCTTATAAAAAGTATAGAAAATGGGTATTATTCCCATCAAACTTCGCCTTGATCTTTGCCTCAGGCAGCTCAGGGAAGACGTCTTGAAGGTCCCTAAAGGCTGCCGACTGTACAACATTATTCCATAAGTCGGCAGCCTTCAAGTACCTTCAAGACATCGGACCTAAGCTGAGGCAAAGATTAAGATAAAGTTTGACGGGAATAATACCCATTACCTATACTTTGGAGGTATAACTAATCAAAATGTAACACCTCCCAGGAATACAGACACGTTTGTTACAGTGTATAATTATTAGTCCTATGAAATGTTAATGTTGCAGTGGTTTCCCTAAACTATCACAGTTTTAATGTTGGAGTCGATAGGGGGCAAAATGTAATGTGTTCAGTAAGAGAACATGATGAATGTTCCAGTTATCAGCACGTCCTGTGTGTGTGTGTGTGTTCCATTGGTACAAAATGGGAACTTTTGGGGGGCAAAACAGTCCACTTTTGCAAGTTTCACCAAAAGTTGCTATAACTGTTATTCTTTTTTTGAAGGGTAGCTTTAGTTCCATTCTCTATATACCGTCCATATCCACAAAAATCCTCATAGAAAACGTTATAAGACTATGTGTAAAGTTCAGCAAACTTTAATAAGTTGTTTTTGCAGGAAACCAGCAAGGTTTAAATAAACTTCATTAAAAAGTTTATACGAACGTTGTCCATCAAGCTTTTATCTAAGCTAAGCATATATAAGAAAAATTAAAGTCATTTATTAGCTCTAGATTAATACCTGGCTATAAAGTAATAAGCATCTTCAAGCATCTTTCAGTCAATCTACAAAATAACCTGCACTATCTATATTGAGTAAATTAAATATGAAATTTTAATACGTTTTTGAAGAGAATATTTCACTTTGACTCCATGAATTTTATTTTTCTCTCCTGGGGCGTCTGTGTTTATTATTTGAATACAATAATGTTCAAACCAAAATAGATTTACATCCACATTAAAATATTAATGTTCAATATTTTGGGCTTTTGAATTTGCCAAGATGATAAAATTAACGCAATCAATCAAATTATATATAATAATTTTTATCATATATTTTATTGCTGTTATCGTGAAGCTTTTACACGCAGTAATAAATGTTACATGGGAATTACATAACATTTTATTGTCCTTGTGTTATAAAAAAAAAAGTAACTTAAGTTGTTCAGCTAACAATTATTCTAGTCACAGAAGAAATGTCAAGTCGCCAATATACGTTATTCTTAAAAAAGACGAATAACTGGCAAAAGTGAACCTCATACTCTGCGACCAAATTAAATTCCAAATGGTAACGAAGGACACTACAACCGATTTGAAAACGAAGGTAAACAGAAGAGACAATATTGTTCTAGTTGAGTTATGGTATAACGAGAGGACACAACCTCCATCCAGTCTTGGTGGAGGTTGTTAAAAGTATTAAAGATTAACAGATCAAGAAAATACATACATCGGGAGTCATTGTATTAGACGACTGAGAGCTGCAAAAGCGGGGTACGAGAGCTGAAGTCCTATAAACTGTCTTAAGTAATTAGAGTTAGATAAATACCAATAATTTACAACCAAAATCAAATTGTTTATACTAGGCAACCCGCATGGATCAATCAGACCACATCAGATGGCCAGACATTGGTAAAACTTTGCCAAGCCTAATCTAAACACACATCTGTATAATATCTACGTATACACCTGCATTACCTTCACATAAAACACGTGCACTAGCTCTTCACAAGCCCCTGTTGTTGTTGATTTATGGACGAAGACGATCGAGGGATCACATAAGCACCTGTATAAGGTCCCCAAACACATGTGTAAACAATACATGAACACCTGTATCCGCTCTACACGAACACATTTAGCGACCGGATTAACGCGCATTTGTTTACGAGAACGGGCTGAAGGGCACGTATTCCCGTAGAAGATGTTGTAGCGCCTCGGAGCTCGTAAAAGATTGATACATAGCGACTAAGCCTCCATGAACGAGGTAAGAGGCAGAGATCTCGTAAGTGAAGACGTATGTTGTCTGTGAATCGTAGTCTTGAAGGATGCAGTAGGCTCTATAACCAGTAACGTCATGACGTTAAAGTGAAGTCCCACACCATCTATAAAACACATAACATCTTATCTTTTACGTCGTTATGTGAAATTCGCTTGGGACAGGATACGATGGGTTGGGTTAAGTTTGATTGGGTTAGGCTTGGTTGGGTTAGGCTTGGTTGGGTTAGGCTAGGGTGGTTCAAAGCGTTTCGATGACGTAGGAGGTGTACATATTTTTCTCAGGTGTTGGACCGTACTCGGAGGCGAGGCCACACTAGGCGGCTGGGTTGTTGACCCGCCCATTGACCACATGAGCCGCTACAGTACCGCTACGCGCTTCTGGGCCTCGGCACACCGATCTGCATTTGTTTATCTTACCAGGGGTAGCAGACATATGAGGCGGGGGCGTCTTATAACACCCTCTTCGACCTCCATTTTCTTCCTCATTCCCTCTCCTTCAAGCTGGTGAATAGGGGGACTAAAGGAAAACAAACATGAGTATACAAATATTTATGCTCCCCCACTAAGCATTTGAGTTATTATTTACTTGAATAACCCTCCAGAGGTTGTTAGGCCCAACCCACCAGCTCTTCCCCCCACCCCGAAATACGTGTACATTTAAGCCCCTCCCAATGTGGGTTGTGAAAAAAGGTCGATGGAAACGGGTTCTTGTAGTGGCTGGCAGCGGTGGCAAGGTTGAGGCCGGTTGCATCTGGCAACACTGTCAGGGGCAGGCGCACCGGTAGCCTGTACAAGGTGATTCAGTGACTCGCTAGGATTCACAGTGCCTCGCTAGGATTTGCAGTGCCTAGCAGAGGGGATAATATTTAAGCAGTGCTAGTACTATACAGCTCAAACAACTAGACAGGGGCCAGGAAGTCCCATAATTGGGTACAGCCGTAAATCTTGACTGAACTACCGGGAAGGACAACATTCCCTATTGACGTCCTCTGGGTATTTTATTATTGATTACGAAAAGTATAATTCACCATTGGCAAAAAGGTATACCCACCAAGAGGTGAATTCTATAGTTGTCAGTGAATATTATTTTTTGAGTTTAGTCTGTTAGGCCGAAAGTATACTTTACTGATTGGTCAGTGAGCTAGTGGTAGCCATAAGTTACCTGTGAGACTGAATGATGTTAACGCAATTACTAACTTAACTTCATGTACGATATGGAAACTCAAGCGTGAAGCTTTCGATCAAGACTTGTGTCACGAGATCAAGACTTGTGTCACGAGATCTAGACTTGTGTCACGAGATCAAAACTTGTGTCACGCAATCAAGACTTGGGGCACGCAATCAAGCCTTGCGTTTAGCGAAACGGAGCATCCGACAACCGAACCTATTATGGTAAGTAATTATAATCGCCGGTTGAGGTGGACACGAAAAGTGTATCCTGCTTCCCGCTGTATATACATTGTGAGTTTATTTTAGTCCTAGACTAAAGTATACCTGCTAGTTGTGCATAATTTGTATCGAAAACATGGTTATTTTTATAAATAATTAAGGATAAACTATTTTATCCTGATGGAGGCTGATGCCATAGGAAGTCAACGATTTCTTCACCTCATAGATTTCCTTTGGCATCACCCGTCGCCAATTTTAGTTATATTTCCTTATATAACCAGCTTATTTTCGAGTGATATTGTGTTTATCTGCAATGTACATTCAGCGCCAAAAGAAAATGAGCAAATATGTTTAATTTCTTCTTAATTACGCAATTCTAAGAAGTTTTTTGTGCAATTATATGAATGCCTTTTGACCTATCTTAAAGATAGTTCGAGTTAATAACAATATTTTACATACAGTCCCCCTCCCCACTTCAGATAAATGATATATATATATATATATATATATATATATATATATATATATATATATATATATATATATATATATATATATATATATATATATATATATATATATATATATATATATATATATATATATATATATATATATATATATATATATATATATATATATATATATATATATATATATATATATATATATATATATATATATATATATATATATATATATATATATATATATATATATATATATATATATATATATATATATATATAATGCCAAAATAATTTGAGCTTTGAAACGCAAACTGTAATAATAATTACAAATTAATTGTTATTTATACGAAATGTATTTTAAACACAATGCAGCAGAGTGGTCATAGTTAAATAATTAACCGGCGAAGTTAAACGGTTCCTGGATTGCCCAGAGGTTAAAATAACTGGATGATTCAGCAGAAGCTAATTAAAATGGCCGGATTATTCCTGAGGGGTTTGGGGCGTGTCGGGTCAGCCCGAAGTCATGTCCTGGGCCGCCGCCCCGTTACTCGCCTCGAACTATGACCTGAAAGATGAGGATGCTACAGTTACTGTTCCTTCTCGCTGATGCTGGAACCTCGTGGGACCTTAACCTTTTGTTGTTTACGTGCAGGAATTTCTAGTTCTTGTTTATCTCAAGGTGTTTTAATTAAATTAGTTTATATTTCAGAGGACGTTGGTGGGCGTGGTATTGGGTGTGGTTCTGGTGGGCGTGGCTAGGACCGAGGTGGCTTTAAAGGAGGAATGGCTTGAACGAGGAATATCCCACAACTCCGTGAAATCAACGAAAGAAAATGGAAACTTGTCCAGTAAGGAGAACGGGAACTTCTCCAGCGACACAAAAAACGGGATCTTAAGTTACACAGAAAATGGTGTATTGTTCACCCACATAGAAAACGGCGAGTCGACGGAAAAAGAACACGTCGTTGTTTCAAGAAACTTGAACATCCAGGACGGACTTGATCAACCTGAGGAAGGGCTGAGCCTTCGGGAGGAGGAGGACGGAGCTGAGGACTACCACAAGAGGAAAAGAAAACGGAGCAATGATTATGGGTAATGATGGTTCGTTCCTAGTTGTTCCTCGCCGGAGGAGTTATGAATTAATTACATTGTTAAATAATAAACTTATTTTGGCGGATAATTCTTATGTCAAACGACTAGAATAATATAAGTTAATATAATAATAATAATAATAATAATAATAATAATAATAATAATAATTAGAATAAGATTAATACAAAAATTGTATAATCATTCCCATCACCATCATTAACACCAACCACCATCTGTCCTGGTTCCCATCTACTTCAACCACCATCGCCAGCACGCGATGATCCATCCTGATCCATCCATCCATCCTACAGCAATCAACATCACAATTCATACTTTCATTAACCACCACATTCGATCGTGGATGGTAGTATCAATGGCATTCGCTCCATTGATACTACCACATGATCCACCTCCATCAACCACCACCACCTCCTGCGCCCTCCCTACCACCTCCATCAACCACCACCTCTATAACCACTACTCACTACCTCACCTTCTCCATCCAGAGCGCCTCAATACGGTGAGGACCCCGGCCTGAGCAAGACTACTCACGTCTACAGCATCCTGGCCCTGGCCGTCTTCAGCGCTTTCCTCGGTTACATGGTCTATCACTACCTCAGTAGCGCTAAGAAAGAAGAAAGATCTGCTGAGTCCCAGTTCTGGCTGTGGGGCGAGGATAACACCATACACGACCTCCTCCATTATGTGACTGCCGGCATAGAGAGATGGGCATTGCTCGAGCACTTGACTGAAGACGACTTACTTAAATAAGACTCGTGACTCTGTAATGCGGACATCTTTACTCAATCTTTTGTGTGTTTAATCTTTATGCTATTGTGTATTTGATTTGGGATTTGTTACTGTTAAACCTTCCGTTTTCTATCCTGTAATTTCAAAGTTTTAAGACCGTATAATTGCACTACAATGTTGTTGTTGTTATAGATTCAGCTACTCTGAATAAGTTCCAAGTAGCACGGGCTATGGTGAGCCCGTAATTTGCACTACAAACAAACGTTCATAAATGAGTTCATAGATTTGAATTTCTTTTGTACATGCCACTATATGTACGTAATTGTAAATTACTCGCTATGTAAATCAATTATGCACAATAATTATATCAGAAACATGTTCGAATCGCGTTTATCTCTCAGACTAGTGATCAGAGGTGTGGGAGGAGCAAACAATTAAAAACAAAAAATATTCGGGCTATATATATTCTCTGTATAGGATATATTAATGCTGCTAATCTTGTATGACAAACTATTGAAATTTGTCGTTCTTTCCGGATGGAAAGTTTTCATTTTCTTTAAAATTTGGATTAAACATCTGCTGGCATTATTCATTGAATTATTTCCTCTACTGGTTGTGGATTGGGAAACTCTAATTTACTGTAAAACTATTTGAAAATAAACTGTATATTTGTCTGCTATCATTGTTTCATTACGTCCAAAAATAATTTAATGTTACATCAGGTCACCTTTATAATGTCGATTTCAGTATGTTTTTATACAGGAGAAGAACTTAGTTACTAGAAATTGCAATATAACCAAACATCAGTTTAACAAGAAAGCTAGAGTGATGATTCCAAATTGAGTCAATCATTACACAGGTGCTTGTCAAACAAATGCCTTTGATGCATGCAACAAGGATCTGAAGACTTACTGTCACTTCTTAGTACATGAGTCTACCCATAGTTGACGTGAGATTTTTTCCCTATAAAAGTCTAAAGGACTGTATTAGTTCATATGACTATGATCATATATTGCTAAATAAGTATAATGGATTGGTTATATAGGATAATTTGAGTATATAGGACAAGATGAATACATATAGGACTAAGAGTACACGTAACTATATGAATAAATATGATCACTTGAGTATATAGGAGTAATGCTATTATCATTAGTTCCCCCTACCCTTTCATCCCAACCACACAGCAAAGTTTTAGCTTAAAAGACAAAGGCTAACCCGTCTTCATGACTCACTACGGCCTTACTCTACTTTAGTCTTGGGTCTGCAGGTAAACTCAAATCCTTAAGTTAAGGACACTAGTAAACTCCAGTGTCAGACTTACGGCGTACCAGCCTACTGTTTTATTAAGGCCACTTTTAGCCTACTGACTAGCCAGAAAGCCTAAGAAAAGTTATAAATTATGTTCAAAAGTAAACTGTATATGCACATACGTACAAATAATTCACATTCGCGTGCAGAAACAAATTAACATAAATATATACAAACGTATACATTAATATACACATATACAAACACATGCAATGATGTTTGCATTTAAGGAAAGCCTACATTCAGAGATAAAGATACACATTTACTAAGACCAACGCTTGCGCACGCAAGTACGCGCATTTACGAAGGCACTACGGGCTCACCATAGCCCGTGTTACTTGGAACTTTTTGTTCCAGGTAGTGAATCTTTAACAACAACAACAACAAGCCGGCAGCCGCACACAGACCCGTACACACCAGCTGCTACACACACACACACACACACCGTACGCGCCAGCTGTTACACACACACACACACACATACACTCACACACACACGCCGTACACGCCAGCTGTCAGACAGTATCCAACTTTCAGGCGGCAACCATCTGTGTACCAGCTTCTGTTACCACCACGGAGGACGACACTCGTGTTCTTCAGCCAGTGTTACCACCACAGAAGTTAAACTCTGGTATTTACCAAGTGTTATCACCACAACAGACAACCTTCCAGTGTTATCACCACCACGGCACTCTCAGCAACACCTGAAGGGTTACCGCTTACAGTGTTACCACTAAGCCCGTCACTCGGCTGGACAAGTGGTCAAGGAAACAAGGTCCACCTCGAGCACCTAGTGGTCAGGCTGGCGCATTTGACCTTCAGCTTGCTGCTACTGGCCAAATTTAAAGTTATCTTCCTCGTTTAGTAACCCCTTGCGCCCGGGAATTAGTTGCTGTTAAGTAAAGCAATTAGGAGGAAACAATTTTCGCCTAATTACACCGTTGATGTTAATTACAAGTATAACTTGCAAGTAACCTATGAGACTTAAAGCAAGAATTCGGTTCATCTCCACAGAAAGGTTAACTAAACCGGGCCAATCATAAGAGGACTGGCGTGTTGACAGTCGTGACGTCACTCATACGTCACATCGACTTGATGACGTGCAGCCAATCAGACTAACATTTCTCCTTCGATTAAAAATGGTATGCCTACTAAAACATTTTTGTTTGTAAATAAAGTATGAGATATAAAGCTACTTTACTATACTGTGTTAAATGCTTTCTTGGTAAAGGAGTGATATTATCCAAGTGATGTTGAAGTTGATGCGAAATAACATGAACACGAAGAAGGTAGCAGCTGAGGCATTGCTTTATTCAAAGTAAGACCTTTCTGACGAGGTCTTACCCTCTTTGTCAGAGAGAGAGAGAGAGAGAGAGACAGACTAAGACTAAGAACACCAGTTACAAGAAATCCGACCCAACCAACGGGGCTTTTGAACTTGTTTGAAATAAAAAACACTCACCCAAACACACAAGTTATATTCTGTTGACATGCACGTATTTATAGAAGGCGTGTCTGTTGGTGGACGCGCTGACTGCTGCTGTGGAAGGCAGTGCCGTAGGCAGCATAATAGGAAGAATCTCATCTGAAGGGGAGACTGAAGGAATCTCACCACTCGGGGACCTGGACTCGCATGCGCGCGAGGTGAACCCTGGTATCGACTCCGTTACTCCCATCTATAACCTTCCTTACCGCGCCCTCCCCGCCACCCACGCCCTCCACGCCCACCCACGCCAACCACGCTAACAATGGCGTCACTCTCCAGAACCTGTATAGGAACCACAACATGGGTTCGAGCACCCTCGACAGCTACAACGGTCAAGTCAGTGGCTAGAAGGCGGACAACGGGCAGCAACGAGAGTGGCGTGTGTCAACAGGGAAGCCGAGGAGGGTACCACGAGGGGTTTAACGGTGGTTTGACAGATTTTAACGACGCGTTTAATAGTGAAATTAACGGAGGGTTTGATAGAGAACCTGGGATGAGGATGACATCTGGAGGAACGACATGGGGTGAGTTCTGAGCTGTTTGGTACAAATGTTATATTACTAAATACATTTATTCGTATTTGGGGATGGGCGATTAATTGTGGGATAGTTCAATGAATTGCCGTGACCGTCTTCTAATAGCATATTCAATCAGAGGATTAGAATCTTCTGGGTAGTTTTATCTATGTAACCCCTTAACGTCTACAGGAGCGGTTGGGAGGAATCACCAATCAGTAACTAATTAGATGTCTTAATTGTTGTTAAAGATTTGCTACCTGGAACATAAAGTTCCAAGTAGCACGGGCTATGGTGATCCCGTAGTATCTTAACGGTTGTTGTTGTTATAAATTCAGCTTCTCGGAACAAGTTCTAAGTAGTACGAGCTATGGTGAGCCCGTAAATTCTTAATAATTTAAGTAACCATCTAAAAGTGTGTTACTGAGGTCACATCGCTGTTGCGGCGTGAGGTAAGGATGGGCAGTCATGTACTGTGAGCAAGCGTAAGGAACGCTCATAGTCTCCTACAGAATCCATCTCCCTGCAGGTACTCCACCAACACCGGGGGCATGAACACGCTGAACATCAAGGTGTACAGCCTCCTGTCTTTGCTGCTCTTCACCGCCTTCCTCACCTACATCATCTACTTCTTCATAAGTCAGGACGCGATGCAAAGATCTCTCGAGCGCCCTCAGGTCGACGAGATCACAGCCATCCTCGACGAGGTTTTAGACGCGTTCGAGAGATGGGCGGCCTTCGAGTTCCTGCCATTAAATTTACTGCAGGAGGCGGAGTAGGAGGAGGCGGAAGATGGTATGGAAGAACAGTATCAGAGGAAGAAGAAGAGATTCCCTACCTTGACTGTGGATATTACCCCCTTGTCTATATAAACCATGGATATTAGCCTCTAACGCGCTCAAGAATACCATCCTACAATTCACCAATAATCGTTTAATTTGTTTAAATGTCTCGCAAACGAATCGCTACGATATATATATATATACAGAGAGGTGTACCCGGCTTCTCACTGTAAATGCATCGAGAGTTTACTCTAGTCGTAGACTATGTTCTGAACTAAAGTAAACTTGCTGGTTGATCAGTATGCTATTGTGTAGAATTAATAACTCTCCAGAGGTTGACGGGCCTTCAGCGCCACCCCACCAACAAGAGGCTATCATGTACAGCCGTTTGTTTTCCCCCAGAAGACTCTATTATATTGCTAAAGGTCAATAACCCCAAGAACAAGAGGGCATTATTATTGTGTGTGCACTGTGTTGAAGGCAGTCTTCAGGTGTTTGGTTTTATGAAGATTTGTTATATTATTTGATGTGCAAGTATGTCGTTTATTTGTGTGTATTTACTCCTGTGTGTGCGTGTGTGTGTGTGTGTGTGTGTGTGTGTGTGTGTGTGTGTGTGTGTGTGTGTGTGTGTGTGTGTGTGTGTGTGTGTGTGTGTGTGTGTGTCTCGCTGTACGGAAGCAAAATGTATTGGTTTTCTAATTAACTTGCCACACTACATTAAGTTTCCATGTTTACCTTGATGCTTATAATGTATCCTGGCGCACTCAAGCTATAATTGTTCCAATTTTAGTATGAAATAACTTTGAAATAATATTTTTATATTACATTTTGTATTCAAATTAAATACCCACATTTGAATGAATTGTATTTTATATCTGGAACATAGTCGAAATGGAATATATATATATATTCCAATAATAATAATTATTCTCACTAATATTGGATACCATTATTCACACCCACAGTGAATAATCTGACGATGAACCAGCATGAAAAACATCAACTGCGTCGTTGGAAAGACTAGGCTCTAAATCACAAAGAAAGGGCGCTATGCTCCTCGCTCTCACTATCGGAGGTAACCACTTGTTGGGTCACTGGTTCACTCTTAGTCAACACAGGAGTTGACTGTGACATTAATGTAGCGGCTCTGGCATGATATAACACATACCAATACAAGGAAAATAAGGGATGTCCTTACCATTATCATCTGCCTCACGTAGTACCAGAAACAGGCCAATCCAAAAGTTCCTGCCGGTGTTGACCAATTCACACACACTAGAAAATGAAGGGACGACGACGTTTCGGTCCGTCCTGGACCATTCTCGAGTCGATTGGTCAAGATACTTCAACCACGTTATTGTGAATCATCGCCTGCGTTCCTGCCGGTGTTTGGGTAAGCAACCGAACCATGAACCACCAAATTGTACTGTTCTTTTCTTCACATTCCACCAGGCGGCGTCTCTATCACGTATTTGTGGTAAGTCAACACAGCCTCGAACGTGGAGACGGAAATATCAGGCAAGAAAGTGCTAATCTACACTCCATAGAAGCGGCGAATCTGTAATTTAATATTCGGACAATCGCCTTAGTTAACAATGACGTCGGTAATAATTTCCACTTCTACTCAATAGAGGGCGGTAGGTGGGTGAAGCGTATGAAGGGAGATAGATGAGATATTCCGTCAGTCTTGTTACTCGATTGACTGTGAATAGTTTAGTGATAGAAGCTCCGATGAGAAAGTGTGCAGTACTGTAATATAGGATGTAACTGCTGCCTTGTAAGTTAAATGGCTGTATTCCTTATGTAAAATTATTTCAAATTTAATGCTTGCGCATTTTTACTAATCAATGTTATTGAAATTATTTTATAACTTTCCCTTTCGCTTGCCCATAAATGCTATATATTGTAGTCATATTACCTTAGCAATTTTTCCAGAGAAAATATTTATTTACTCAGGTATTTTTATTGTGTTGCAAGTTAGAACTGTTTAGTTTCCGCGGGGTTATTGGTATCTTTGTACAGTTTGTATATTATTTAGTTTAATTATTGAGCCAGATTCATTATGTCAGCTTTATTAATTATTACGTCGACCTGTAGATTTTGATGATTCAATGATACATTCTCCCACTGCATTAAGTTGTAACAACATTATTAAGTTATAATGCAATAAATAACGTTGTGTGTCGGGTAACGTGATGTGTACCCAACCCCTCGGTGTACAAATACAGAGTTTACTTGAGCCTTATACAATATACAGCAGTATAGTATGTTCTTGGTGGCTGGTAAGTAAGTTAGTGGTGCGACCTGTCCTAAAGTTTCCTAACGTCAAGAAACTGTCGTATTAAAGTGCCCGGAAGGTTGAAATAGCCTAAGCTACTCTATCCTTTAGAGATGTATTTTATGATCTCAATAAACTTGAACTAAAGTGCCCATATCCTAACCTGCCGGAGGACGCAAAACAGAGAACGGGACATTATGTCAATTTCTCGAGCCGCTACCATTTTCTAGTACGACGATTTTGGGCCTTTGGTAGAGTATATGTCTAATTGCGAGGCTCTGTTAGGAGGACGGGTTGCCCGTGACCTTGACAGGACTTATATCATAACACCTAACCCTACACTCTTGCCTCGTCAGGGTGGAGATGTTTTTTCTGCAGGGAGCTGACCGCGATGGTGGGAACGGCTATGAGGTTCATGATGGCTACAACGACCACAGTGGATACATCAACCATGGTGCATACAACGACCATAATGGCTACAGCCACCACGGTGGAGGGTGAATAAATATTAACTTTATCGTTGAAATAATGTGTTCTTTATCATTGTTATTTTAAAAGTTTTGATTTTGAGTTATATCACACAAAGGATTTTCAAGGAGTCTCTAACAACCATCTGCAACTATTAGAGAAGGAATAGTATATTCTGTAACTAACAATTGTGTGTGTTTCTTTGAGTTCATCTGAATGCATGTTAAGTCGGTCGTTAATGCAATAATTCCTAATGTATTATATTACATCTATTTGTTAAATGGAGTTAGCTTGAATTACTTCCCCAAATGCTTCATTTATTTTGTTCACCGTAATGCTGAACAAGTCTCTATGGCGCATTTCGGTCACATTCTGTGGCTGTGTCTAATGTATCCATCCGTTCTGTTGCTAGACCTACTATTTCCTCCCCTTTGTCTCCAGTTCTGCTGTTGCTTTACCAACATAATTTCAGCTCTCTGCCTTATCAAACTTCATTAGGCTCTTATTGCAAGTTTCGATGATATCACTCCTGTATGTTTTTTCCATTTATGTGAGATTTTTTACTCAATATATCCTAATATTTAGGCTTCCCCCCCCCCCACACTGGAACTGTTCACGTAGCAGATCTCTGCATCTTTGTGTACTTCTCAAGGTTTGACTCCCTGCTGGAGTTTGACACCCAACACATACGTCCTTCCTTATACTTGATAATGGTCCAGTACGGACCGAAACGTTGCCTAAGATGTGGACAGGTGTAAGAAAGAGATTATGTGGACAGGTGTAAGAGAGGCTGAGGACAGGTGTATGTTAGGAAGGAGAGCGCGTGCCTGCTTCTATATTCGCGTGTAAATGATCATAACATGGAATACAAGAACAAGTGTTACCAGGTAACCTCCCTACCTCCTACTCCACCAGGTTCGCCGGCCAGCCCCTCGCCGCCAACTACTACCCCTACCACCTCTCCTACCTGGCTCTGGTGGTATTCTTCTCTTCCCTCACCTTCCTCTACTGGTGGTGCATCACCAACAGGAGAGATTGTCTCCATGGACGTGCAACAACCTCAGTGCCAGCAGCACGTACGCCCACCACCCCTTTGGCCCTAGACTACGTCACCGCCTCCACTTTGGACTTCATTGATTCGGGCGCCTGGCGATGGGGAGGGAGGGAAAGAATTATCAAGGGAAAGCGCCAAGCCATTACGACTATATAGCACTTGGAATGGGATCAGGGGTAAGGATTTGGGATGGGACGGGGGAAAAGGAATGGTGCCCAACCACTTGGCCGGTCGGGGGATTGAACGCTGACCTGCATGAAGCGAGACCGTCCAGCCCAAGTGGTTGGGAGTCTTCGGCAGGTTCACCACGCTTCCTCCTTCAAGAGCTTCCTAACTGCAAAAATTGAGATAAATTTAGGGCACGTACGCTTCAGGAGAGAATAGGATATCTCACTGGAAATTTTCTGCTTGATCAATAAGGCTGTTGAGCTTCTTGTAGGATCCTCGTCACATTATCACTCCTCGAAGGATGCAAACCAGTGACGTCACAACCACTCACCAATGGCCTTGTTGTAACAAGTCCTCTAAAATACTACTTTTATTTCCATACAAATATCATGTATACGTATATATTAATAAATCTGTACAGAAACTAAAGATCTGCTTTTATTTAATAAAATATAGTGAGGATTTTTAGTTAAGATAAATATATATATTATAATTCTCAATGATAATGATATTCAGTATTTTAGCCTTGTTAAAATAAAGGTAATTATCGTAACTGCTCCGTTTATCGTAGCCTCAACTGTCCCGAGTATCGTAATGTTTACAATATTTTCCGTGGCAACTGTCAGGAAAATCCCTCCACGTCTGTTCACCAGTTACTGAACTACTCAACACAAGGATATACATAAAGAGGTATACCCGGTGTCTTGGTATAACTGAGTATATTGTACGCGAGCAACTGAGGGTAAAAAATATATGATAGAATACCATGAGACTGATAAACAATTGGAGAAGGATATTGATTCACAGGCCAATAATTTTATGCATATATAATAATATTTAAAAAAAATTGTATAACAAATCTTCAGTACATAGAAGAATGAGTAACAGAAACTGTATCCGCAGTCCACATTTACTAGTGGTTCTACAGACACTGTGCCGTGAGCAGTTTACAATTACACATAAACATCACTAGTACAGTACAGTTGTATACATATTACAGTACATGTAAACACCACTGGTTCTGCAGACAGTGTCACACAGTATCATACTGGGGTGTATAATGAATATGTAGACACTTATAAATATATATGAGGCTACGTAAACCTTCATTCATATACTACGTACAGATAATTCCATAATATCTATAACTGCCTTATCACTCGGGAAGGAATAAATACTCAGCCGTGTGAATAATACTATTGGATAAAAACTAGCACGAAAAGAGCTTCAATGCTGAATAAATAAATAGTTATATAAATCCTAGGATTCAAACATGTCTTTTAAGTCTAGCATTGATTTGACTTGGATACCAAAGTGCTAGCGATAACATTAATGGTCAACACTTGAACACTTTGCAATATACCTATTTACTGACAACTACCAACAAAATGATTGATAGGTCGTGTGTGGAACAGGTGCTGTGTCCATCATCGAGATTAATCTTGTGGAACGTGGGGGAGTGATAGATACGATTTACATACTGAATTCCAAAAAATGGGTTCATCTCAATAGTGTTTTTTTCATGATTCTAAGAGGAAATTATGTTCCGTCCTTTCTTGTAGAGAGAAGTATAGTTTTGTCCTTAGAAATAGTTGCATCCTAGCCAGAAGCTTCTCAGAGAGGTGACGATGGAATGCGCTAGTTGTGTTTACATTGTCAACTCTAGCGTTCGATATGACAAATCTCTTTACATAACCTCCAGTCTTAATACACGCTAGGAAATAAAGTAGCGAGAAGCACTGTATTACTGCAGAATGTCTTCTAATATATATCTGTGTCTACCGAGATGATCCAGCGAGCCACCGTCCTTCAGTGAGGCTTATCTCAGAAAAAAAATACTTCACAACTCGACTCTTGGGACTAAACTGGAGCACTCTGTCTGTTAAAGCCAGTTCGGGCTTGCTTATGAGAAGTGTTCATTCTTCTCTCATTAAACCTCATTAAACCGTGAACCTTTTCTCAGATATCACAGCCACTGAAACTCCGTCTCATTATTTTTTTGCATCTGATTAGCCAATAGTCATGATAGCGGAAGACTCTAACATTGACTTGGAACATTGTCATAGCAGATGAACAAGAACAAACAAAACACTAATAAATATTACTTTAAATGCCCAAAAATATTATACAGTTATGCTTAAGTTATTTTAGACATTCTGAACACATCTGTGTGACTCACGTCCATGCAAGCACAGCCTAGCAAGGCCCGAAAATCTGCATTTACTATTATAATAAAAATTCTTTTTGTATGAATCTCTATATATATATATATATATATATATATATATATATATATGTCGTACCTAGTAGCCAGAACGCACTTCTATGCCTACTATGCAAGGCCTGATTTGCCTAATAAGCCAAGTTTTCATGAATTAATTGTTTTTTGACTACCTAACCTACCTAACCTAACCTAACCTAACTTTTTCGGCTACCTAACCTAACCTAACCTATAAAGATAGGTTAGGTACGACATATATATATATATATATATATATATATATATATATATATATATATATATATATATATATATATATATATATATATATACACAACAAAGGATAGTATGAACAATGGAAAATAATTACAAAATGGTATATAGCAGTTAAACTTTAGACCCAGAAATATATCAAGGTACAGGGTAGTTAACATTAGCTACTTGTGGGTTTAAGGTTCAAAGGTCAGGCTTTTGACTCAGGAGTCAAGAGTATCATTGAACACCACTTAAGGGGCAAAATATCTAGATGATAAGGCCCCTTAGAAGGTAAGGGGCGCTAGATAAGGAGGTACACAAGATAGGTAATGAGAGCCCCAACCACCAGGAGGCCTAGAAGGTTGAAGCCTATTAAGGAGTCAGAACCGAAGCCTCCCTGCTGAATCAGCCAGCGCCGCCTTCTCCCGTGAGGGAGATTGGGAGATGAGGTAGTCGTCCTGGAGTGAGGGAGAGGGGTGGTTCCTGCACTCCCTGCTCTCTCACTTTCAGTTGCATTCGAGAAATAATTTTGGGTATCGTTGTCGGTGTCGATCGAAGTCTCAGAGGGTTTCGAGTGCGGTTCACCGGTATAGTCGATGTTCACGCTGTCGAAGCAGTTACCAACGGCTTTGAGAAGCCTCGAAGCAGCTGAACGTGACCCTAAATCAATGAACGTCTCTATGAGTTCTCCACCTTCAAGTAAACCGAGGCTCGCCTCTAACAGCGTCTTGTCAGAAAAGATCTTTTGAGCCGCATTCATTAGCCATTTCCCTCCGATGAGCGGTACAGACGCGAAGATGCAAGTGAGCACGCGGTCTCCTTCGTCAGGGAAATCTTCCGTTGGTTCTTGGTCGCTTTCCTCCCGTGTGTAGTAAGGCGATATGAAGTTCATTGAGCTAGAGCTTCCTTCTGGAAGCGAAGGTTTCCTTTCTTGAAGCCGGGGATGCAGAATATCAGCATCATTACTATTTGATAAACTGGACCCCGCCTCAGGACCAAGGCTGGCCAACACAACCACGTTGCCTGAAAACAAAACAAAATAATTGTATTTTAATAGTGCGTAACTTCAAAGTTCGTGTGTGGTAGTGTATAAGCTCCTTACAGGTTAGTCAAGTTTTTATTTATAAAAATATATATATATATAATGACTAACATATTAACTCTCTCTCTATATTAAAAGTACTGCGGAAAGTACTGCTAAACTGTTACAGGACTTGCACATCCAAAATAAATTTTCTAAACCAAGTTCATTTTGTATGAAACAAAATTTGTATATACTTTGGAAACTATTTAAAAAAAATATTACAGAAACAGGAAAAACTCACCAAAACCAGAGAAATTCTCACCATAACATAGAAATACTCACTATAATAGAGAAGTACTCACAATAAGAGAAATATTCACCATAACAGAAACATACTCGCCATAACAGAAAAACACTCAGTAAAACTGAAATACTCACCATAACAGAAAAACTCACCATAATAGAAAAATACTCACCATAAAAGAGAAGTACTCATCATAACAGAGAAATACTCACTATAACAGAGGAATACTCACAATAACAGAAAAAGATGAAGCAGAGAGCAGATCTTCTTGAAGTCAACATAGTTGCCATTGCTGCTCGGACACACGTCTCACACAATGTCACCAGTTCCAGTGATGAATATCTGAATGCTAATCTGTTAATGTGTTGAATTCACTTAATCTGTCCCACAAAATACTATCTCTGAATAACAAACAGTAGTATATTCATCACGTTAGATTTACAATTTATTTATCGATTAGATCCTATTTAAATACTTTTATTAATTTCTTTAAACTTACGTAGAAATCAGTTTTCTCGTTAAAATCATTTAATTGATAGGAATCACTTTTGTAATTAAGTTCAAGTCACCGACCACAATCGATTAATAATAAAATTGAACCGCACTTCAAACGCGTTGAACATACCGATAGTGGATTCCTCTCTGTGTTTGCGTTGAAATCACCATATGTCAACACCATGAATTGACTATGTCGTTGAGATCACTATTCTTGCATGTTAAATTATATATTGTTCGTTTAGCGAGTCAGAGAGGCAGTAGAGACAGCAGCAGCTAGACGGACGGACGGGCGGCAGGAGACGCTAGCCAGGCAGACGGTAATGTTTACAGACAGGAGCGCGGAGGGCTTCGCCAAGCTTGACTGTGTGTGTGTGAGTGTCTCAGTCCTGCGTATTGCTGGGGCACCCCATCGCCAACGGCACTACCACCACCACCACCACCATCGCCTCCACCGCCCCCAACACCATCACCACCACCCCCACCACAACTACCACCACCACCACTCCAACACCACACACACGAAGACGGGACACCACGAGCGTACTCTCATCCTGTAACTACACTTAGGTAATTAAAAATTACCACCACCACCGTTGACAAACCAACTACATATTAATACTCAAGCTTACAACTCTAGAGAAAAAATGGAAAATAGGGAACATGATCACTACATATAAAATACTGAAGGGAATAGGCTCGGTGGATAAGGAAGACCTCTTTAAAGAGAGAGGACAGTGGTGGAAGTTGAAGACGCATATTAGGCCGAGAAATGAGAGAGAGAGAGAGAGAGAGAGAGAGAGAGAGAGAGAGAGAGAGAGAGAGAGAGAGAGAGAGAGAGAGAGAGAGAGAGAGAGAGAGAGAGAGAGAGAGAGAGAGAGAGAGAGAGAGAGAGAGAGAGAGAGAGAGAGGAGAGAGAGAGAGAGAGAGAGAGAGAGAGAGAGAGAGAGAGAGAGAGAGAGAGAGAGAGAGAGAGACAGAGACAGAGACAGAGATTAAGTAAATACTGGTGATTTGTGTGAATGATAAACAAATGAATTACATTGCAAGTAGAAGTCTTGGAAGCCACCTCCATCTACACTTTCAACTCCGATGCAACAAAGAACTGAACAAAGAAACTCAACAAGTTCAACAATGTTTGGTTTGTATGGTGTTAAACATAAGGCTTAATGACCACAGGAGGTTATTAAGGTCACCACCAATCAGCAAATATACTTTAGTTCCGAACATTGTTCAGTAGTTTACTATGCTCTCAGCTCATATACAACGATAATCTTGTCAAGTCGCAGCTCGGCCAAATAAACAATAAATAATCCTCGTTAATCAAGCTGTCAAACCACTGTAAGGGAATTCAAGTAACTCCCAACTAATTAGAAAGGGAACTATCAGGAACGACTAATGGCTTGGCCATTAGTCGTAATGGCCAAGCCATTACGACTATATAGCACATGGAAAAGATGGGACGGGAGGGGGGGGAGGGAATGGTGCCCAAGTACTAGGACGGTTGGGAATTGAACGCCGACCTGCATGAAGCGATACCGTCGCTCTACCGTCCAGCCCAAGTGGTCCGAGGTCACGTGTTGAGTTACCGTCTTCCCTCTTTCAGGTAGTCATGGACGGTGGAGTCGAGAAGTGAACCCTTCATGTGGTGCTCGAACTGGAATGATTGAACATAGTAAACACGAACGTGTCAGTCTTGTCCCACGCGCCATAAACCCTAATGATCCATCCATCAAACAATAGCGGTTGTGTGAGCAGGTGTTGTGTGTTTGGGAAGCATCTGTGCGAGTGTTTCCGCTGATGCCTGGGTGTTTATGTGTGCACTCAGAGTGGCCACAACCAATATTACTCCAACTACATACACACACATACACGCACGCACGCGAACACCCACACACAGGAGGTGATGTGGTGGAGGCTGACTCCATACACAGTTTCAAGTGTAGATATGATAGAGCCCAGTAGGCTCAGGAACCTGTACACCTGTTGATTGACGGTTGAGAGGCGGGACCAAAGAGCCAGAGCTCAACCCCCGCAAGCACAATTAGGTGAGTACAATTAGGTGAATTAAGTGAGTACACACACGCGCGCGCGCACACGTGAATTACATATTTACGGACGTTAATGATAGTTCCCGGAAGATTTCTTTCATTTGAAAATTTACGAGAAGTGAAGTCAGTAAGACTCCCGACCATTCACTCCTATTCTGAAGGGCTGACCCGGTTGTTCCAGTACTTGAAAGGGGGTACAAGGGAGGAAATCAAGTTCAAGACAAGTTTATTGAGACAAGATTCACCTCAAAAGGATAGAGAAGCTTAAGCAATTTCTACCCTCCTCGAGGAGTCAGGTATGATGGTTGTAGATTTACTGAGGCAAGAGGGATGGAGGGATGGCGTCTGCAATTTGACTCGCAGGCTACACTTGAGGAGGGGATTACGGGCTATTCATGCCCGTGCAACCTCTTGGTTGTTGTTGTTTTAGATTTGGCTACTCAGAACGAAGTGTCCATGTAGCACGGGCTATGGTGAGCTCGTAAGGACACCTCTTGATTGATGAAGATTAAGCCACCCTAAAGGTGGCACGGGCATGAATAGCCCGTAAGTGGAGGCCCTTTTGAGCCATTACCAGTATCAATAGATGATACTGGAGATCTGTGGAGGTGCGACTGCACCCTGCGTGACGGGAGATGTCTCCCGTCAAACACCTCTTGATTGATGATGATTGATGAAGATTAAGCCACCCAAGAGGTGGCACGGGCATGAATAGCCCGTAAGTGGAGGCCCTTTTCAGCCATTACCAGTATCAAAAGATGATACTGGAGATCTGTGGAGGCGCAACTGCACCCTGCGTGACGGGAGATGTCTCCCGGACCAAATGGTGACAAACACCTCTTGGGTGGCTTAATCTTTATCAATCAATCAATCTCGAGGAGGTCAGGTGTTTGGATGGCGGCGATGGGGGGAGGTGTAAGGAGAACCTCCACCTACGGCGCCTTCGTCCGCTACCTCAGGAATGTTGACTGTCCTTAGGCACCTCCACACACGCTGACCTGCCTGCTCCACCTACTGGTCAAGGTGACCTCTCCGTTCCCTCACCCGATTTTGCTAGCCTAGATCACAGGTTACACTAGGCTACCTTAGTTTACTTCTAGTTTTCCCTAGCGTATTCGAGTTTACCCTAATTTATCCTAGTTAACCATAATTTGTCCTAGTTTACCACAATAAATATCAACATATTCTTCAATAATACAAAATGTTTATATAAAGGCTTTACAGTTTTAAATTACACTCTTATGTCTACATACCACGTATGCTGAATTAACTCTTTTACATTTAAAATACATAATTGTTAAAGAAAGTATTTAAAACATATATTTATCGTATGCTTCCAATGATATATATATATATATATATATATATATATATATATATATATATATATATATATATATATATATATATATATATATATATATATATATATATATATATATATATATATTTAGGTTAATTTACATTTCACTACATAAGCAAGAGATATATAACGGGATTCACACCAAAAAGTTTACTTTGCTTATCGGTATATAGACGCTGTCAGTTTGGAGAATATCTAAAGTTCTTTTATTTATCTTTAGACAATCTTCTCTATAGTTCTCGACCATGTATTAAAATATATCTGGAAGTTGGAAGTAGGCACTTATCATGGCCTTAATAACCCTCCAGAGGTTGAGATGCATTGAGCCCAACACCAACCCAAGGGATATATACACCGTATGGTGTATATATCTAAGGTTCATATACATATATATATATATCATATATCACCTTACATGTATCTATATGTAAGGTTCTCGGAATATATACACCGATTTTTTTATTTGATTGTGTATTGTGCACCCCATACTCATTCTGTGAGCGGTAGCGCAAAAAAAGCATTACTGAGGGTCCAAAAGGTCTTTATCAGACCTCAACGGAGATTATATCGTAAACAATTTCATCTATCCTTCACACCGAGATTACTTAAGTCCTAGATTATATTCAGAACTAAAGTATTCTTACTGGCTGGCCTAGTTACCTTCCAAAGGTTGATAGTAAGGTTGTCGTGACCTGTGTGGAGGAGGAAGGACAGAGGAAGAAGGTTTCTAATCCCACAATCGCTACCTCTTCCCCATCCACCAAGCTCCACCCACTTTGCTTTATTTAGTTAAGTTTCCTCTTAAAACCCACCAGCGGCGCGCTGGTGTGGCAGTCTACGTATGCTCCAGGTCTTCAGTACACCATGTATATATATAGAAAATAGTGTTGTGAGCGCTCTTGAGCCAATCACTGTGATGTTGTGAGTTTGTGATGTCCCGATGTTGTCACTAAAAACACCCGACTGAGTCCCTGCCTCGAATGCCACAACCTAACGACACGCAGCTGGGTTTAGCCCTGGCACTTTTTCTCTTACAAATCTTCTTCCTCTCACCCCCCCTTATCTTCTTCTGTCCCCACTTCCAAGCTCGCCCCAATGGGCATCTTCTCCTGTATTATTCTGATTCTGATTCTGTGAGCGGAACTTTACATATATAGCGTCTACTACGTTCTCAACATAGCACGTGCTACTTTGAACTCTTGTTCCGAGTTTTGAACTCTTAAACAACAACGTTTGAACCTTAAATCGTAGAAAATTACGCTTCTTTGGATAACTACACAGAGTATACATTAGTTCTGCAATGGGTTCAGGTCTCAATTATTCCTGCTAGTTGATCGGTATGCAATTCTTGTGGTCTTAATAACCTCCGAAAGGTTGACCCAAAGTCAAACACCATACAAAGTAACCACAGTCGAACAAAGTGAATAACTTTCCTGCGTTAGTTAATGCGAAAACAACCTTTATGTTAACATGCCCGATATTCACATCCTCCAGTGATACATATGTGTTAATTATATCTCGTGTGTTAACCCGCTACTTGCCTAAGCATAAAGAAACTCAGTTTTAACAACATGACAAAATATATATACATGAGACAACTGGGATCATATTTCACTCGCAAGAAATGTGGTATTCTGATATTTGCGTTTTTTATTTATGTAAGTATATATATATTATTTGTTACAAGTTGTAATAATTAAATTTATATACTAATATCCAAGTTGCAAAGAAATTTAATTAAAAACTGATATGTAATGTGCACGTTTGTCTGAATTACACACAAATATGTATAATATATTTTAAAATTTTATAATAACAGAATTAAACTAAAGAGTACATTATAAAATTGATCTTTGAAGCTTGAATGTTCTCTTAAAATTCATCTGAATAAGTGCTAACATTTAACTGAAATATATACATCAGAATCTAACTCAAAATCTAACTAATGATCTACCTTAAAAATCTAACGACAAAAGTGTACAATCAATTGATTTTCATATGTATATTAACATACTTAAATACGCCCGAACTTATGAAGCAGCCCTAGACTAAAAAATAATAAAAGAGGTTCATTATTTGTACAGTATATACACACCGAGAGGTATACTCCGATTCTTAGTGTATATATACTGAGTTTACTTTAGTCACGGCCTATGTTCATGAGTAACGTATACTGGTTAGTATAACCAGTTGTTGGTTGGTTAGTAAGCTACTGTAGTGACCTTAATAACCCTCGAGAGGTTGAATAGACCTTAATTAAGCCCAACCAAGTATCCTGCAATAATAAACTATTGATGTATCGATCAGCGAGTAAATATTGTCTTTGTTGACAGAGTCAGCTGGTCAGTCAGCTGATGCGTGGTGACGTGGAACGCCACCAGAGGGCAGGCTGGAACAGCTACATAAATCTGGGTCTTCCGGCAGGACGCGCCAAGGACGAAAACAGCTTGGCGTGGGTAATGTATAGTTTCCTGGTTATTGTGGCGGCTTCATTGTCCGAGTGTCGCTTTCGTGAATAGATTTTATCATGTTATCAGTTATGGCTGATTTGATTTTGAACAATATCTCTTATAGGCATACATGAACATATACAATGACACTCACAATCACGCAATAAACAGACATGAAATAAACACATACACAATTGGGTCTGGTAGCTGAGTGGACAACTCGCGGGACTCGTAATCCTGTGGCCCTGGTTCGATTTCCGGTGCTAGCAGAGATTAATGGGCAGAGTTTCTTTCACCCTGATGCACCTGTTACCTAGCAGTAAATAGGTACTTGGGGGTTAGACAGATGTTACGGGCTGCTTCCTGTGTGTGTGTGTGTGTGTGTGTGTGTGTGTGTGTGTGTGTGTGTGTGTGTGTGTGTGTGTGTATGTATGTGTATGTGTGTGTGTGTGTGTGTGTGTGTGTGTGTGTGTGTGTGTGTGTGTGTGTGTGTGTGTGTGTGTGTGTGTGTGTGTGTGTGTGTGTGTGTGTGTATGTATGTGTGTGTGTGTGTGAGAGAGAGAAATATACGTAGTAGATATAATAGGGGATAACACATCAGGAATCTGTAAATTAGACCAACTGTTAGAAAGGTGGGGTCCAAGAGCTAATAGCGCGAGCCTGCAGGCACAGATAGTAAATACCCACGAAAAAACAAACACACGCACACACATTCATCCTCAATCTAAGCATTTAGGCCTACCCACAAACACAATACATAACAATAATCCCTGTTCATTACACTACCGTAACAATGTCCCCAACTTGCATAGATAATTTTAAACCCATGTCCAGTAGAAATCTGCCCATTTAAAGTTGTCTATACAATAAACTTTTATTACAAAAAAAGACCACTATGATTCAAATCAAAGTGAATTAAATGTTTATAGTTTTCCAAATTTCAATAGTACGAAGTCGACTATTGTCTTTAGTACAAAAATGTTTATATTTAGACAAAATCTGGTTTCCTTTGACGCAGAGCGAAAACAACTCCCATAATGTGTTTCCAGATCGCGATGCGTGCCGAGGGACCCCTGAAGGCTGACGACCCAGACCTGCTGGAGCTACTGAGGGCGCAGTACTTACATCCTCCGGACGGTCTTCCTTACGACCTCAAAGAGGACGCCGGGACCAAAGACAACCTCTACAAACGATATAAGATTATATACCCTTCTTGGGCCTTCATTGATAGTGTCACGAGGGATCTGTTTAGTGAAGGAGAAGATGCCGGGTTCTTCGTAGAGGCAGGAGCTTTGGATGGGGAGTACCTATCCAACACTCTTTGGCTAGAGCGGTGGCGAAGGTGGACGGGGCTGCTGGTGGAGGCTGAGGCGGATAGTTATGCCGCTCTCAGGAAGAAGCACAGGCGAGCGTGGTCGTCACCGGCTTGTCTAGCCACCAACGACTATCCTCACACAGCAATACTCACCTCCTTCAGAAGATTGGGACTATCCTCTGAGTGGACCGACCGAGGAGCAGCCAGGATAGAAGAGGTAAGTGAACCTTCCCCTGGATACGATAGTACCGATTTATGCTGCCCAACACCAAGAAATTGCCATGTAGATTACAAATACTTGGGATAACAATACCACATAGTGTGAACCGGTCCGGGTTAAAATGTTAAGGTTCATATGTAAAACTTTGCATAACAAACAAATAACAATAACATTTGGCATTGGCATGGATCACCTACATGCCAAAATGGTACCCCATGGGAAGGCCTAAAGTTCCAGTTTATATATATATATATATATATATATATATATATATATATATATATATATATATATATATATATATATATATATATATATATATATATATATATATATATATATATATATATATATATATATATATATATATATATATATATATATATATATATATATATATATATATATATATATATATATATATATTAGTAGTAGTAGTAGTAGTACTCTTGTTAATATTATTACTAAAATTATTATTAATATTATTAGCATTTTGTTATTTGTAATAGCAATATCATTATCATGTGCAGAAGCCGGCCGCCGCCGGAGAGGGACCAGGCTACAAGACGTACCATAACGCCCAGTGTTTCCCCGCCCTCACCTTCTTCCTGGCGCTCAACATAACGCGCGTACACTTCTTCAGCCTCGACGTTGAGGGCGTTGAAATGGGCGTCCTCCGCTCCTTTCCCTTCGACCAGATCACTGTCGACGTATGGGCCATAGAGCACGTCAGCCCCTCGAGGAACTCAACGCCGCGCACTCAGACCTCCTCAGGTTCTCACTGGAATACTTCTGTACCTTCCTCCGACACCTACAACACTACGTCAGGTGGTTCCTCTCAGCAAGTCTCGTGGTTAGAAGACCCTGAATTTATCGCCTTTATGGAGGCTCGAGGGTATTACCTTTTTGATATGTTCTGCAATTATATTCCCGACTATATCTTCGTCAGGCGAGGCAGCGACGTCTTCAAACGATTGCGCGTCCCTGAACGTATGTGGAAACGTCGAGGCATTTGTTTACACAAGTCCATCTGGGACGAGGAGACGAAGGTGTTCGAACCCAATCTACACCGGGATAAACGCCACTGGCCGATATTAGCGTACAGTGGTTGATTGTAGTGTAAATTAGTGATTGCAAAGAAATAAGCATGCAAACTTAAATTCCCAAAGGTGTATTCCGCTCCTCGGTGTACATACACTAGAGTTTACCTTAGTCCTGAACTATGCTCGCAACTGAGGTATGCAAGTATATCTCAGTATACCCTTAATAACCCTCCACGGGTCTATAGGCTTCAAGATGAACACCAAACCAAAGTATCACAGACTATGTCATCCGGCAACAGTTAACTAGATCCAAAGTTAGTTCAGATTTAAAGATAAGTGTTTGTTCAATATATATATATATACCTTAATACATATGTGGCGATTCATCTGACTTACAGCTTTCGGTAAGCTGTACCGCAAAGTTCCACTCGGATAAAGAAAGCTTTGCTGGTACCGAAAAAGTTTTGCCAACATTTTACAAATAATCATTACGAGTTAAATTAGACTAGGCTATCTTTATGCATTTTTTCTATAACAAGAATATTAAATATGCTGAATGCTGGCTTGGATAGTGGTAAACCAGTCATAAACGATATTCCCCTGTGCTCCAGTATCCTAATCTCAAAGTTCCAAATGGAACTTCCACCGTGTCCAGCATTACAGCTGGAATATTTATAATATATACGATACTTTCCACTATCCAAGTAAGCATTCTCAGATATTAGAAATCATTCTAACGAGGTGAATCATACTCTGCTGGAATTCGATTTTAAAATCGAATTCCAGCACCCAATTTCACGAATGGCCAGTCGGATATGAGAATAATATAATCTTTATGTATCAGGGAGCTGCGGCCTGTGGTTCAGTTGCTCAATAATGGTTCAGCTGCTTAATTATATACTGCATGTCACAGTCAGCCTTTTGTTTTCATTTACAATTCACGTTGATATCATTATTATATGCTTTAGTTTACCCCCCTGATTCGTGTCGCTAATACTCATTTTGAATGTTGACTTCTTGCATTGTTATATTTGTTTAATTAGGACATATAATGTAACACTTATTACTGGGTTCTTGTCGGCAAAATATTACAGTTTACACTGGATCTTGCCGACAAGGAACCGAGCCCTGCTGGACTTAGTCGGCAAGTACGTGGTAACTGATACACCATTGTACTAATTCTACTCAGTATTACATTAATTCGCACTATAACACTGTATGTATACGGTCACATTATCTAGTGAAGTATTCATAAGCACCAATACTACATGCACCAGCCTCATACAGAGCAAAAATGTTGTGGGAACACTATATTCCTGCTACACTCACAATGTCAGGAACACCAAGTGAGAAGTTAAAGAAACACCGCAAAGTAACATAACTATATTCGTGCAAATATTATATATTTGTAGTTTTAAACTACGTCTTCTTATACGGGAAATATATACAAATAAGGGAAAACGGAGATTTGTCATGTTTTGTCAAAATGACCTGCAAGTTGAAAAATACGATGCCTTTTGGAAACATGACTTTGACCGTTATTTGTTTTTCTTGGCGTAATTCAGGGTGTTTGCGCATATTTGGAGTTTTAAATTACGTCTTTTTATGGTCTGGCCGGCCAGGCCTCCTGGCTGGTTGGTCTAGCCGGCCTGGTTGTTCTGGTTGACTGCTCTGGCTAGCCAGGAGGAACCAAACCGTTTCTATCTTGCCTGAGAATTGTACCAGAGTCCTTTAATTGTGAGTTGAGATCGTAGAGCATTGTGCTGTACTTCAGAATGATCATAAATCTAGAAACTACTGTTAAGAATGTAAAAAAAGCAACGAGTCATGTCATTTGCTTCATCAAAAATTCCAGAAGAGTTCGAATTGTAAGGTCATACGACGCTTTATATGCTATCTAACTGATGTTTTGCATGTCGATGTAAAACACTTGTATAATTTACTATAATTATTTTCATACTTTCCATTGAAGTTGATAGTAAATGTAATATATTTTATTTGCTATTTTTTTAAAAATGTTACTTACATTAACGTGTTCGAACTTTATCACGTTCTGTCAGTCAGGCAAACGTGGACAAGTAGCGAAGGGTCGGCTGTTGGGCTTAAACCAACAATAAGTTAAATACATAACTGTTACGGAAAGGTATCAGGACGTGTTATTTGACCCATCAAGTTAAGATTAAAATTGTCATTTAAAAGTAAAATGTGTTAAACTGTTGCAAAAGAAAACGAGACCGACAACAGTTGGAGTATTTTGGTCCAGAGTCGCACGATCCGTGGCGGGAAATAAGAGCCAATCAGAGTCGCGCGACCGGTGGCGGGAATTGGGAGCCAATCAGAGTCGCCGACTGAGACAATAAGGAGGCTGATAAATTAGGGCTAAGTTAGAGCTCCATTCAGTCGAGGGACATAAACATCAAGTGAATTAGGTCTAGGAAGGTTAGGTTACGTTAGTTTAGTTTAGCAACATAAGTAGAAAATCCTTTCCGGTTTGTCCAATATTCGGTAGTACAAATTTCTAATTGCGTTGACTCTCGGTATATGTACTACGGTCCTCATTGTTACTATAAATACTACCAAAAGAGGAGGATGGGCTGAGTAGGCTCGTACACTGTCCTGCCTTGTCAAAAAAGAAAGACTGGTGAACCATACTTCGTACAATATGCCCTGATTGTAGTCGAATTGATTTTCTTGGGCGAAGACTGCAAATATAAACTATTTAGATAATTAAAGAACACCAGTACATGAAAATGAATATGGATGTTTGTTTCCTTTTTAAGCACTAAGCAGTACTGGTAAATTTATTTACCAAAAGTAATTGACATGACTCGATTGTTTGTGAGGCCGGGCTGGGTGTGTATTGTATGTATAATAATCCGTGTGTGTGTGTAGTATATGTATAATAAATTTATTACGTAATGAAATTTAAAAAAAAATATAGGTTTACTGATGAGTTTTTAGAAATTAGCACTCAAAATTAGGATAAACATGACTACATTTAACATGGTATTATATTAGCATGTCCTGTGTTGCCTCTGATCAAATGTTCTGCTCGAGTTTACCTCTCGAGTGTAAACCTAGAAATAACGTTGATTACGACACGTAAATGAACTTCAACTGTAGTTCTCCGTGTCGCTTGTGAGAGCGTCTCTCACTGGTCCTGCCAGGGCTGCCTCTACGTTCTCTGGCATGATTATTTTCTAGGATGCCAGTTTACTTATGTATTTAATCAGCCTATGATGATACGCACTAGTGTGGCAGTGCTCTGGGAGCCCTTTGGGAGCACTTTCCCTCCCCCCCGTAAAAATATACAGCGGTTTTGCCTAAATAAAAAATAAAATCGTCAAAACCTAGGCTACCTACATAATCTACTTTAGGAGATAACCATTTGTCCCTTCAAACGTCAGAATTGCGGTGTGTTTAATTTACCTAAATCACCGCAATTTTTTACGTTGGCATCGATAAGCGTAAACAAAAAAGTAGGGTGTTCAGGGAGTTGATTGGCTGGTGTTGCTTTGTTTGACTGTTTTGCTTATCGAGGTACCTATACCCTCTATCGAGATGCAACCCCACAACAGTCGATTTGCTCCCGTTTACTGACAGGTGAGCAGAGGGACTTGCCTAAAATATGTAATAATATTGCGCTACAGCTCGCAGGATGAGTATCGGGTATCAGTAAACTATCACTCAGGATGAGTATGAGGTGGACAATAAACTATCACTCACAGGATGAGTATGAGGTGGACAATAAACTATCACTCACAGGATGAGTATAAGGTGAACAATAAACTATCACTCACAGGATGAGTATGAGGTGAACAATAAACTATCACTCACAGGATGAGTATGAGGTGAACAATAATATTCCCAGTCGAATCCAAAACCTGTGCCCGAATTAAACCTATGACGTCATAGTGACGTCACACACTTGTGCGCGCAAGACATAAATCCAAAAATGTTATTTATAATCTTCATTTACTTAGCCTTGATATACTTGAATTAAGATAGATTAATTTTAAGATTATTTAAAGTTAGATTAGGTTGGCGTAAGTATCTTAAAAGGAAATACTGATGACACAGAGCCGGTCCAACTTTCTCAGGTGTTAGACCCTACTCATTATACACGCTATAGTTCCCCAGGCGGCCGACGGCGGCGCCACTGAGCCTCGACCCAATCTTGTGTTGCTATAGTGAGGTGCGCCATTGTACATCTTCCAGAGATTTGTGTCGCGGAAAATACGGAGCATCGTGCCGCCATGGCCAGTGTCACCTGGGCATGAACATTATTAAGGTATGTGTGGGTATATCTGTGGACGTTAGTCGGCGGATTGACGCGGTGCAGAGGAGTAAATCATCTGTGAAGAGCAGGATGGAACCTTACCTAATCTAACCTATCCTAGCTCAACCTAACTCAATCCTAACCTAACCTATTCTAGCCCAACCTAGCTCAATCCTAACCTAACCTATCCTAGCCCAACCTAACTCAATCCTAACCTAGCCCAACCTAACTCAATCCTAACCTAACCTAGCCCAACCTAACTCAATCCTAACCTATCCTAGCCCAACCTAACTCAATCCTAACCTAGCCTTACCTAACTCAATCCTGACCTAACCTAACTTGCATTTTATTCCCAGATCGTATATTGAGAACCACCTGGACCCTGGCGAGTACCCATATTATTTAATTTAGTTCTGCCTCTTCTGTTTATCCCTTTTGTTTACAACTGTTAGTGAACCTGTATATAATTTTAGGCTCCAATAATTCTTTACAATTATTGTATTATTATTATTATTATTATTATTATTATTATTATTATTATTATTATTATTATTATTATTATTCGCGAGTGACAGGTTGTACTTGGTTATTTTGAATAAACTAGGATGTCAACTCATTCTCAGGCTCTGGCTGAGTTTATGAGGACGGGCTGTGTTGATGAGGACGGGCTGTGTTTATGAGGACGGGCTGTGTTTATGAGGACGGGCTGGGTTTATGAGGACGGGCTGTGTTGATGAGGACGGGCTGTGTTTATGAGGACGGGCTGTGTTTATGAGGACGGGCTTGGTTT